AAACGAGTCGTATGAATTTGGGAAACAGGAGTGAGATACACCTTCTGTCACTGATTCCAGTCTCTTGGTATTAATACTGTGTCATCTTACTCAGGAACCAACTAACTCCATCTGAAAACCAGCTACTGGTTTTCTTTCCCACATTCTTGCTATGAAATTCTGGAATGAGTGCTCCGTTTTGATCGGCTTAGACACTTTTTTCTAACTTGCAGCTTGAAAGAATTTGTGACTCGTTTTATGCCACTTCCTTCTTCTAGTATTTTTACTTAAATATACACTTTTCCATCTCCTTCCTCTTTGTGTATTTGTAGAAATTGGTCATGTCTTCTTTCATCCTTGATGACAAATTTAAAAGAGAAGTGGTCTGCCACTTTCTCAATAATCTGGATAACCTGGCTGTGCTTTAATTTCTTCCCTGAAGCATATCACTGGATTCATGCCAAGCACTCTAAGTTAAGATCTCCTAAGTGAGACGCAGCCTTGATAATTGTAGTGGAAAGCTGACCTGTTAGGGTAAGTGGGTATTGGGCTGTGAATGCAGCTGCATCATGATGGTCACTCGTCATTGATCACACGATGACTGGTGCAGCTAGATCTTTCTCTCCCAATTCCATTCAAACTAATAAGTATGGAGCTGATGGACTGACAGCTTTGTTGCCCTCAGTTAAAAACGTTGTCTTTTGTACTATTACATTTCACCCAGTTTTGACAGTTAAGGTCATCACATCTCTCTTAGATGTACCCTCAGCCTTCCTAGTAATGGTGATTTCTGTATGCTCAGCAATATTTGTGAGCAGCTCCTGCTTTTTTAAATTTCTTTTAGCATCCTTTTAGAATAGGGTTTATTTCATGTCCAAGTAACTTCTCTGCAGTCCACTGGTTTCACCTCCAGCACAGCAAGTTAGACACCTACCTCAGAATTTTTGTTCTAATTGCTCTGTGCAGTTTGCATTTAATTTCTCATGAACATTATATCGAACACTGTTAACTTAAGCAGGTTAATTCTAATGCAGAAATTGATTAAATCAAAATCCAAACATCCTTTCCTTTTAACACTGAAGTGATATTTCCTGAAATAAAATTAATCTTTGCACTTTATGACCTATGACACAGACCTATCATCCAACTTAATTTTAAGAAATGATTAGCTTCCTTGTTAACAACATTACCCTTCTCTTTCAGCGTCTAGGAGTGCACTTTGATGAATATTCTGGAGAATCATTTTACCGAGAGAAATCCCAGGAAGTTCTAAAGATGTTGGAGGATAAAGGACTCCTTCAGAAAACAGTGTATGAACTCATTATTCCATCTATTGGTGTAGTTTACTTAACATCTCAGTTGCAATTCCAATGTGATGTGATCAGTGAGGTTTGTAGATCATCTAAAGGGAAGAGTTTTCTTTAGATGGTTTTGATAGCTTTTCACAAACAGGATTCGTGCAGTCACAGCTAAAAATTAATTTTGCCTTTTCTGTGGCTAGCACAGAAGCCTGGCCGTGACAAATTAGGTGCAATGACAGTGTTTAACTCCTAACGGCCCTTTAGGCTCTCAGTTAGTTTGGTAGCTGGATGTGCCATTTATTGAGCAGAGTTAAGTGAGATCCTTGCCTTGATAAAGGAGCTTCCTGCCTGAACTGGGACAGAAGCTGGAGTCATGGAATGCACCAGAATGTGGGCAGGCAGCTCCCTGGCATCAGCAGTGGTGACAACAAACTTACAGGAACAGTCTTCAAAAAGACTTAAAGCAGACAGTCGTTCAGAGAAAAGAATGAGATTGCCTAGAGTGAGGGGAGTTTTATGGCAAGAGGCCTTTGTTTTGGTTCAGACCTCTATCGTACTTTAACTTATCTGTATATTGGACCTGACTTGCAGTTAATTCAGTGTTTTCCCTCAACTTATAGAAAAGGAACAGGAATTGTGGATCTTTCGGAAAAGAAAGACCTCTCATCGTTTTCCACTGTCATGCGTAGTGATGGGACATCTCTTTATATAACAAGGCAAGTAAGCCCATCTGTGTTGATTGCCATTTATTTTGCCAGTAAACGTCTGTACATGAGTACATTTGTCACTGATAGTACAGAGTTTGAACTTTTTTGTTTCTGGGATACAACACCTTTGCTAACGAGTAATCATAATTGTAGCTAGCAGTGCAACTATGATGGGATGAAAACAGCTGAGGAAAAACCGCTGCTTTTAAATACTTTTCCTCCCCTTAAACAGTCTGTTAGTAAATCTTCTCTTTCCATAAATCAAAATACTTTCTCCAACTACTGACTTTGAAACAAAGCTTAGATCTCTTCATCTAATAAACACTAATAAACACACAAATAATGAAGGTTTTACAAAGACCTTTGCTTAAAATGTTTATTGACAGTGTGATGCATTTAAAAAAAGGCTTGGTCAGCCATGTCTTCATTGACTCAGTGGACCACCAGCACTCTACCATCAATTTTATTACTGTTTTCTTGCCTTCTCATCGGTGTCCTAAAATTCCTCTTGAGTATCTTAATATGGAAGCCTTAAGGGTTTATTTGTGCCAGTAATGTAAATAAATCAGATGGCTAGCCCTCAGGGTAAACTGTGTCCAGCTTTTCAAGATAAGGATATGAGAGAGATGCTGCAGTTGATCCTGCACGTCAGGGAGCTGCTGAATCCTGTAGCCACATAGAGGCAAGGCTGCCACAGCTCCATGCCCGCAGGTCCAACCAGTAGTAAGGCTGAGCACTTGTTCCCAGTAGGCACGCAAACACACACACACACACGTATATACGCACAGTCAACAAAACAGGGCAGCACAGACAAACCCACTCAGCCAGCACGAATGTCCTCATTCTGTTCCCCTCTGGCTGATTAGGGTGAAGATCTATTAGTGTGAAGAAATATACATGTATGTGTGTATGTATATATGCACACATGTATGTGTGTGTTACATATTATCTACGTAAGTAATATATATATGTATTGTATGTGCAGAGTAAGTATACACAATGCATATCCTTTCCATTAGATGAGCTTCAGTGCTCAGTCTGCCCATTAGCTGGCCCCTGGATCCCCAGATCCCCCCACTTGCTGGCACCTGGGCACATGAGCCCCCAAGGCCCATAGCCTCACTCCGGTGGCTAGCACAGACACAGTGGAACTAAGCTTAGACGTGTGGCCCATCCAGCAGCTGGCCCTGGATCCTCACTCTCCCCTGTTGCCTCCTCCATAGAGACACACATGTTCACAGGCAGGTCTCTCAGTCAACCCCCAGGCCCCTTGGTCTCTCTGGCAGTTGGCCTGGACCCCCTGATGCCAACAGTACAGAGTCTGGGTGCCTCATCTTTGAAAGCACACGTTTACCTGGCTCCCAGGGCACTTCACCTACTTTCTGACTAGTTCAGCTTGATATTTGGTGTCAATCACATGTGGATGCATGTGCCCACACTCCAGTTGTTGGCAGCAGAGACACCTTGGCCCCTGTGATCCATGGTCAGACTCCAGTTACTGTCACTTAATTTCACTTACCTCCAGTCCCTTCAGTTGCTGGCACCACAGATGCATGGCCTTTGTGAGCTGTAGTCCCCAACTCTAGTTACTGATACTTAGAACTCCAAACACACGTGCACCTGGAAGAGAGACCCCCTCACCCAGGAAAAGATGGAAATGAGGTTTAATGAGAAGACAGTACAAACTGTGCCGATCAGGTGCAGATCACAACTGGACAAACATACTAGCCAGCAATAGGTTTACAAGCCACCTGTCCCTTTTATCATCTTCTCTTGCTCTTTTCACATCTTTGATTCCTCCCCTAAGCCTCCCATAATAAGTCTTGTGCAATTGCAAAATGCTTTTCCCTTGCATCCTGTGTCCCATGTCCCATAGACAGTAACCTCCCCTGGTCTGGAGGGCTGCTCCTGGTGACCCCTGCAGTGGCTTTCAGACTGGGATGTGGGGAAGGCTCTCCTGTGACAGCCTTGGGAGAGGCTCAAGCAAGTTGTTTCTCTACTTTGTGTGTGCGAAGATGAGCTTTTTGTCATATAACCTGCCTGAGCACTGGGTTAGTCCAGGAGAGGATTGTTTCTCTCGAGTCCCAGTTGATTGATTGTCTCAGTAGGCAGAGATAGACCAGACTTACTCTGCGCATAAGAACTGTTTCCTTAGTAATTTTTATAGCTAGTGATTTAAAAAAAATATTTAAAACACCACACGAACAAAGTGTACATGTCCTTTTTTTTGTATAAGGCATGCGTGGATCCCTCTAATCGGGCAGTTCTGTCCCCTCCATAAGAACAGATGTTTTCCTAAGAGGCAAATAATGAGATATGTTTGAGTGAAAGTCCAAATAGTTTCTCGTCATCTCTTTCAGAGATCTTGCTGCTGCTATAGACCGAATGAATAAGCACAGCTGTGATACGATGATTTACGTGGTAAGTAATTCTAGATCCACTGAACACTTTTGAGCCTGACTCTCCTCAGTAATCCAGGAGACCTCTTGCTCGCAATATGGCTTTGGCGTGTGGTATTTTGGGCAGTGAAATAGATGTCCTTACTGTCCAGAGCTGTGCCTCAGTGTGGCAGTGTTTCTTGGTTCTGTTTCTGTTCATGACCCACAAAATGGTTGAAAAATCAGCTCTGGAGTTACTCTCTGTTATAAAAATTCATTGCAATTCCTTTTAGAGGAACTTTTACTCAATCGACATTTTCTATATAACTGTTACAACTAATGTTTAAACAAGTCAGAAAAAGCTGTTAGTTTTATAAAGGGTTGTAAAATGTTAATTTAGAAATTAATGATCTAAAATGAATCTAAGTCTACTCTAAAGTCCTGATATCTTATCTGAAATGTAAATTTTTCTGGCTTTGAACAGTGCCTCAGTTTCATTATACAGAAATTGCACAAAATACTGAGTAATCAATCTGGATGAAGCAGTTGTATTCAGGGAATCTTTTTATATTTCTTGGTTTGATTATTTTGCTTTTTAGCAATTTTAACAATTAACAGTATCAGTAATGAATAGCAGGATTATCTCCTCAATTGTGTGAAACTCTTTTGCTCTAGTATTACCGAGGACATGTCACATGATGCTTTTAAATCTTTTTCATAGATAGAAAAAAAAAATCATGTTGAAAAACATGTTCTTTTATGTGAAGTCAATTAATAACATGGAAAATATCTTCATGTTGTTTGTGATGTGTAGTTTAAAGTGTGACTTTTAAAAAGTCACATTCCTCCTTTTATTTTCAGTCTTGAGGAAGTTTCCAGTAGCTTGCCATTCCCATGTGTGGTCATGGAACAGGGATTTTTTTGGTTATCCTTTTTTTAGGAAGATTGATTTTTTTTTTAATTTTTTTTTTTTTTTTGAGCTTGATTTTCTTGGGAGTTTTTTTGCCTCTACTGACTGGAACATAGTAGGTTCACTGACATCGAAGAGCAGGGTGGCTGTGAAAGTGCAGTGCACTAGGAGTTAAGGAAGTTTCCTGTCTGGTTCACATGGGTAGGTAATTATTTGCATTGGTTATACCGTGAGGTTGTAGGGACCAAGGGAGAAGGAAAAACTAGAAAGAAAGAAAATAGTTGGGTGGGTATTTTGCACAAATTAGGATATGGGCTGAATATTAAGTTCATGGAGCGAGCAAGTGTGGAAGCAGTGGTCTTGAATTGACTGGCTGCTCATAGCTGAACTCCAGTAACCGTTTACTTCCTTGCCTGGGCCTCTTTGATCTACTCCGGGTCCAAACAGCAGTGCAGCAAGACCGGACTGTGATGCAATCAGTGTGTCCGTTACAATCAATGTCTCCTTCAAGTTGGAAATGACAAATTAGCCTGTCTAGTCCTATTCTCTCAACCTTGCTAAGGTTGCATTGTTTCTGAATGACATGGTTAGTATTTTTATCGCCTCTGACTTTCTGAGGGCTGAGAAAGTAGGTCATAAAATGAGAAGGTGATAACATAAGCTGTTAGGAGAGTTTTTTGGGACAGACTGCCTGATGAGGGAACTGCCAGCCTTGCTGAGCTTTGCTGCTGCTTTGTGGCAGCACTCTGTAGTGGGGTAGGGCTTTACTCAGTTTTACCAGAGGCAGGAGGACTTGCTGGGTTTAAGTGAGAACACAGATTATTTTAGTCTTTAATTATTAAATATAAATGTATTTCAGAATCCTGATCTTGTTATAAGAAAATTATTTGGGTGGTCTTGAGTCTTATTTCATAAGATCATCTATTTTTATCAGATCAACCTGTTTAGAAGAATATTAAATGGGTTTATTAGTTGTAATGCTGTAAATCAATGCATTCACTAATTTATATTTTAAAAAATCCTGCTTATTTCATAAAAATGCAGTCATATGAGCAAAATATTCAAAGCATTTTAAAACATGTGACATGTATTATTAAAGAGATACTAAGATTCTGTTGAATGTCACACTCAAAACAGGAGACAAAAACGCTTTGATATATGAAGATTTAAATATAATCCACACTGTCAGACTGCAAACTTCTCCCTTAAAGCTAACCACTTAGACTACGTTTGGACATGTATAATTTTGAGACCTGTAAGGAAAAAATTGCCATTCTTTTTAATATAAATGTTCTTTTTGAGCATTTGTGTTATTTTTGCCGTGCTATGAAGCTATGGGAAAAAAAAGTAGTTTTATGAAATGGTAGTGTCTCCGCATTCATCTTTTTTAACCTACTTACAGATCCGTGTTTTGAGTGTTACTTTTAGGCAGAAATGAAGTTGTGTGGTACTCCTAGTATTTATTTCTGTCCTTCTTAACAAACTTGGTTTTCATGCAATTTTAATTATGTGGGTTGTTCAAGCATTATAAACACTCATTGTTATGCTTCTTGCAGTATCACACAGCATCTCAAAAACACTGAAGTTGATGCTTAGTTTTCAGGTGGCCAACTGAAACCCGAAATTCAGTTTGTAATGCTTGATAGATATTCTTATCTTGGCCTCTCTTTTCATGTTCTTATTTCTGTGGGAGTTTAAAGGTTTATAAAAAACTCCTATTAAGTAATTATTATATTATTTTCTGTTAATGATTTTAAATATTCTTCCGTATGCTATTTCTGCATACATTGGTCAAGACAAGTAATTACAAACATAAGTTGGCTTTTTAGTTTTAGCTGAAAATTCTTCTCGGTGAAGTGAACGGTCATGAAGAAGCAATTAAGTTCAGAAGGATTGGAGTCTATTGTCAGTCAGTATTGTCATGATTTGTCACAAAATCTACTCACAAAAGACTACAGTCCTTCGAAGAGGCTTTTAAATGCTGTGATGTGATCCAGGTGATAAGAGACATGCTGTTGTGCACACAAAACAAAACCAGTTTCTGTCATGGAGTGTATAACCTCTTGTAAAACAGGAGAATACAGAAATTCAGACCGAGAGAGAAGCAGAGGAAACAGCGAGGCAGCATTGGGCAGGACAGCGAGCTGGCCTCAATCTAAACTTTGTGAAGTTTGTTGTGACATCTTTTAGTGAAAGAGATGTGGCTTTGTTACAGGTAGAGAGAGCTTCTCTCACGTGTAAGGTGCATGGAAAAGAGCTTGGAAGGCCTTGTTTGAAATGCAGATCACCACTGTCCGTTTATCAGCTTTGCCTGTGAATGGGCACAGAGAGAGATGATGCATCTGAGGGGAGCATGTTAAGAGGATCTGTAAAAGTGGAGGCAGGTGCTCGAGGCTTGATTGAGAAAAAACACAGATAAGCGTTTCATTCACTGCTCACTCCCTGGCTTGGAACACCAAACAAATAAGGAAATAGTGGTTATTTAGTTATATAAAAGTGTTATAAAAGTAGGTTAAAAGTGTTTCTTTTAAGTAGGGATAAAGGAGTCTTTGAATGATGTAGTCAAAGCAACTAGGTAGGAAAGTGAACTTCATAGCAACAGCTGTAGCTAGAAACACATACAAAGATCATTGTTAGACACAAACTGCCATCAGAAACTGCTTTAAGTCATAGGAGAATGTAATTGGGAGTGGAAGAGAGCACGAGATGCATCGTTAATATGAAAATGTGATCATTTATATATTTTTTTTTTTAATTCCACACCCAACTTATGGTGTAAAACTCCCCAAATCACATTGGAGACAGTAGAAACTAGTGGGTTCTGGAGACAGACAGCTTAAAGAGGTGTTCTGTTTCTAAGCCAAAGGAACCTTAGAGTTTGGTGATGTAAAACATGGGAATATAAGAAGAGCAGGAAGGTTCTAAAGTGAAAATAGACGCATTTTGCTGATGGGCAGCTCAAAGATTATGTGAAACTAAAGAACAAAGTTTTCATTTCTATATGACTTTGCCTTCATGACTTAGGAATAATCATTTTTGAAAAGGTAGATTACTTTTTCTAACAAGATGCAAAATCCCATTGCTATAGATTCCAGCCGTTACATTTTTCAAGTCTTGCCTGTCTTCATAGGTCTTAATTCTGCTCACACTGACTTACTGGCACAGTTATCTGTGGTGTTGTATGTTTGTCTGTTAAAAGCTAATCCTTATCTAACTTGGAACGTTTTCTGATATGCACCAATTTTATTCCTTAGACAGGTAAAAGTCAAAGTAGTCACTTTCAACATTTGTTCCAAATACTGAAGCTCATGGGTTATGACTGGGTGGAGAGGTATGTATTTATGAATCTTAATTATTTATATATTGGGTTTTTTTTTAAGAATGGGTAATATATACATTGGAATTTCAGTGAGTGCTCTTTTGAAGAGATTTCATGATTGTGTCCACCTACCACCATGCTGTAGCACACATCATGTAGGCATTTTGGATGAAGCTAAGCTACAAGATGTGCTGCTGATATGGAAATAGTGAACTCCAGAATTCAAGCAGACATTTGGCCTCTAGGACCCAACTAATGCTAGTCCAATAAAGAGGAATAAATAAGAAAACAAACCCTCAGAATTGTGTGCATGTGGGCCTCAGGTCCTTAACACCAACGTTTTCACTCTTCCTCCGCTCCTGCTGGTCCGCTTTATTTGTGAATGGAGGCATTGCCGTGTGTTCTGGATGTGAACAACAGCCCTGTCTCTCATTTAGCAGATCTTTCATAACTTCTCAATGTGAAAAAGGGAAACAGTCTTTCAGAGACATCATGGCATAGCTTCTGGGATATTGTGTGATCACATATGAAACAATTACTTCTTGAAGTACGGTATTTTAGCAGAGATCTGAATCTGAGTTTGAGTCATGCTTCAGACTTGAAATATCTATTGCAGGGAAATGCATCCCTGCTCTTATTCATTGTAATTACCAATCTTGTTAGCAATCTGAGCAAAGGTCAATAATGGATCTGCAGAGTAAATCATATTCTCTCTGACAGACTGCACGTCTTTTATGGTTAAATATAGGATTTTAGCCTTCAGGAGTACTGGTCTGCCTCCTTTCACAGTGCTTAAAGTTGCACTAAAATTACCCCAGGTTACGGATCCAGAATAATGCTTGGGATTATTGTGAGTGGTTTATGTGAATGGTTTATTATTAGCAATGATTAATTACACTTTTAGTTTAATGTGGCCACAATAGAATTACTATGACTCCCTTTCTAAGGTTATTAACAGATCTGTGTTGCCACAGTAATTTGATCTGTCTACATCCTGTGTTCCCTCAATTTATTGCAATTTATTGCATTGAGTCCTCTGTGCTAAAGCAGCTAGTAGCAAGAGAGGTTCCCAAGAGCACGCAAATGACCAGGTTATCATAATTCTGATCATAATTTTCCCATTATATAATAAGTATGGAGCTTTGGTTGCTGAAATGAGAGTTACTGATTATATCACCAAGCTTCCCACGTTGGAGCGCTATTTATTCAGCTGTTATTGCTGGTTCCTGGTAAGAATCCAGCTCTGAACAAACACTGCAAACATTTCTCTTGTTTAAAATGTAATTTTAGGTCCTACTGCTCTTCAACACAGGTGCCAGCATGTGTCTTTTGGTCTAGTTCAAGGGATGAAGACTCGGAAAGGAGAAGTTATTTTCCTGGAAGATGTTTTAAATGAAGTTCGCTCAAGGATGTTACAAAACATGGCTTCCACAAAAAGTTAGCTATTTCAGATCTTACTAATTTTTTTCATGTTCTGTGTTGATCAAAAACATGTCATTTTTTTCTGCCTTTCACTTTTCCCTGCATCAGACTAATCGCAGTGAAATGCCTCGATCTGTGCACTTTTTGTATCTCCCATAGTATTAACAATGTTAAAATAATCCTTTGCGATTCTGTGAACATCTCTACATTACAGATTTGCACATTTTAACATTTAGTGAAATTATTTCATCATGCTTTTGCACTGAGAAGGAAGTACCTGCCTTTGGGGGACAACGGTTGCTTTTTTCTGGAGGAACAAACTAGTCAATAGTGGGGTTAGGTCTGGAGTTCAGGGAACAGTCAGATTTCATCCAAAGGATTTGTAGCTCTGGCAGTTTTCTCTGGCAAGATTGATCGGGAGCTTCTCTGCAACTCCTGCCTTATCATCCTCCCAGCCTCATGACTTATCCCGAAGTCCGCACGAGGTCACTGCTCTGCAGCAGAATCTGGTGAAACACACGTTTGTCTGGACCTCGGGCTCTAGAGCGGTTTCTGCTTGGCACAGTAAAGATTCAAGCGGTTCCCAGTGAAATGCTGCCCCCTCTTGTGCTTTCTGCAGTTAGGTGCTGAATTGCATCAATGAACTGGTCAGGTGAAGTAGAGTGCATCTTCCTTGCTCTGCCTCTTTAGCTTTTTAAATCCAAATAATTTTGCTTGTAGAGTGGAAAAAGAGAAGAGGGGACAGGCAGAATGATAGAAGGGTGACCCTCAATTCAAACCAGTTTTACTGCAGAGAGGAACCATAGAATCATAGAATTGTTTTGATTGGAAGAGACCCTTAAGATCGTTGAGTCCAACTGTAAACCTAACACTGCCAAGTCCACCACTAAACCATGTCCTTAAGCACTGCATCTACACGTCTTTTAAATACCTCCAGAGATGGTGTCTCAACCACTTCCCTGGGCAGCCTGTTCCAATGCCTGACAACCCTTTCAGTGAAGAAATTTTTCCTAATATCCAATCTAAACCTCCCCTGGCCCAACTTGAGGCCGCTTCCTCTTGTTCTGTCGCTTATTACTTGGGAGAGGAGACCAACACCCACCTTGCTGCAACCTCCTTTCAGGTAGTGTGCAGCGATAAGAACTCCCCTGAGGCTCCTTATAGCCAGGCTAAACAACCCCAGCTCCTTAGGCTGTTCCTCATAAGACTTGTGCTCTAGACCCTTCACCAGCTTGGTAGCCCTTCTTTAGACACACATGGAGCTTAGAGCTTCAGTTTAAATGTTATTATCATAGCTGAGTACAAAGCAAATTTGTTTTTATGGTGCATTGACTGACACGGCAGAGGTACAGACCCATGTTCCATTGCACAAGCAGTAGGCAGAATAGCAGCTAGAAGAGGTAATGTCTTCAGATGACACTGCAACGTTACCCAGAGCTGATCTGTTAGATCTTAAATCCTACCTATGCTTGTAGACATTTTTCCCCTTATGTTTGAATTACTGCCTTACTTACCCTTTCCTAAATTAGAAATTGTGACTCGCTGACTCATAGCATGTCTTCAGCATTTGAAAAATGTTTGGATACAAAGTGAAAGATACTACAAACTTGTGTGTGGCATCAAAATGCCTCACTGTCATTGAAAAGATTTTGAGAGCTGGGCATTTAACAAACAATGCTAGCTTTAAAAATCATGCCTGTGTGGAGCTGGTTAGTTAAATACCTTTGTATAAATTCTTTCTTTGTTATTAGCTGTACACAGTTCTGCTATTTGAGTTTCCATTATTGGCATCCTTTTTTTTTTTCCTTTCTTATCTCATCTCAATGAATCCTGCTGTCCACATAAATCCTCTCTATAATTCCCATTTCCTTTGCTGCTTTACTTTCTCTTAGATAGCTTTGTCTGTGTCTCATCAAGCACCTAAACAAAAGCCTGAATTCTGAGACAGTTGTTCTGTTTTGAAACAAATCTCAGTTATGAAATGTAATAACGTAATCTAAACATATCTTGTCTTTGTGAGTGAATGGCCAGTCTGAGACTTCTCAGTGCTATGAACTATCCTCACATTTTTCAAGCTTTGTCCTTTCTGAGTTTTGCAAATAGCACAAGTGTGAGTAGCATGAACTACTAAAAGCTGTCTCAGTTGGCTTTGCTGACCTGGCACAAAGAAATAGCAAAGCAAAAGACAGAAATCTAAGTATACTCAAAGCGTACTGCAAAACTGTTTCACCTTTAGTGATTCCTTAAGAGAACAGCTCGATTCTCCATATTCTGCTGTTAGTGGGAAATCAGCTGGGAGATCAAATTGGAAGCTGAACTCTGCCAATTTAATAGTTTATCTATACCACAATGAAAGAAATGCACTTGGCCCTTGCTAGAGTGGAACAGATTTGCCTCATAAAAGACTATGATAAGAATCCTCCTTCCTCTCCAGTAGAGACAAACAGGAAGAGGAGACCCTGGCACCGCAATCTGAGTTTAAAAATAGAAAGTGTTATGCATGTGAAAAGCATCACTTTTTCACTAGGCAAGGTTGTGGGTCCAAACATAGGTAACGGATTTCCCAGATGATCCAGCATCTGAAGTGCTGTTATGTAGGCAAGCTTACTGTGCTTCTCAAACTGGGGCACCAGCTTGGCCCTGTGAACTTCACTGTGAGAGAGAGAATGAAACAGGCCCTTTGGTAAATTGCTGTACACAACAGCATGGTGCTAAAGAACATCACCGAGTTCTGAAAAAAATGGAAATAGCTTTGCAGGCATGTCTCTGCAGCTGTTGTGAGGACATTCTGTCTTAGACTCTTCCAGATTAATTGGATTTTGTAATGATAGACTTACGTCCTTTTGTGATGACTTAAGACTTTTGTAATGACAGAGTTAAATTATTTAGAAAGGCTTTGGAGAGGCTCTTGTCTTGTCTACCCAGGGAGAAGGGAAAATTGTGCCTGACTAAACTAGTGGCCTTGTATGATGGAGTGACTGCATTAGTGGACAAGGGAGTAGATATGGGTGTCTTCTACTTGAACTTCTGTAAGGCCATTGATGTAGTCTTCCACAACATTCTTTAAATTGGAGAGATATGGGTTCGATGGATGGACTGTTAGAAGGATAAGGAATTGGCTGAGTGATTGTGTCCAAAGAGTTATATGAGTTAGTGGCTCAATGTCCAAGTGGAAATCAGTGACGAGTAGTGTCCCTCAGGGTCCATACTGAAGCCAATACTGCCTAATATCCCACATAGAGAGTGGGACTGAGTGCACCCCAGCAAGTCTGCAGATGACACCAAGCTGCGTGGTGCAGTTGATTTTCTTGAGGGAAGGGATTCCATCCGAAGGGATGCTTGAGGAGTGAGCCAGTGTGAACCTCGTGAGGTTCAAGAAGGCCAAGCGCAAGGTCCTGCACATGGGTTGGGGCAATCGCCAGTATCAGAACAATCTGGGGGATGAAAGGATTGAGAGCAGCCCGACCGACAAGAACTTGGGGGTACTGGTGGATGAAAAAGTGGACGTGAGTCGGAAAAGTATGCTTGCAGTCCAGAAAGCCAACCGTATCGTGGCCTACATCAAAAGAAATGTGGCCAGCAGGTCCAGGGAGGTGATTCTCCCCCTCTACCCCACTCTGGTGAGACCCCACCTGGAGTACTGTATCCAGTTCTGGGACCCCCAGTACGAGAAAGACATGGACCTGTTCGAGTGGGTCTGGAGGAGAGTAACAAAAATGGTCAGGGCTGGAACACCTCTCTTATGAAGACAGGCTGAGAGAGTTGAAGTTGTTCAGCCTGGAGAAGAGAAGGCTCCAGGGAGACGTTATTGAAGCCTTTAATTATATAAAGAAAGCTTATAAGAAAGACAAAGACAGACTTTTTTTAGCAGGGCCTGTAGTGACAGGGCAGGGGACAATGGTTTTAAACTGGAAGAGAGTAGGTTTAGTTTGGAAGAAAGAAATTTTGTACAATGAGGGTGGTGAGACTGGAACAGGTTGCCCA